GCACCTCTCCCGTTTCCCAAGACTTGGTAAAGATGATGGAGAGCGGTCTAGCAATGACTTCCGCCAGTTCCCTCAGCACCCGCTGGTGCATCCATCTGGACCCATGGATTTATGGATGTCCAGATTGCTCAACTGGTCTCTAACCCATTCCTCATCCACTAAGGCAAACCGCTCCGTTGACCTGACTTCATCTAAGGTCTCAGGGGTACAGGGCTCTTCAGGACTGCCTGCAGCAGAGTAGACAGAGACAAAGAAGGCATTCAGTAACTCTGCCATCTCTGTATCTTCTGTCACCAGGGCACCCATCCCGCTCATCAGTGGGCCTACATTGCCTCTGGTGTTAGTTTTATCTGCCATGTATTTGAAAAAGCTCTTTTTGCTGTCCTTGACCCTTCTCGCCAGGTTTAATTCTAAGGAGGCCTTAGTCATCCTAGCTGCCTTCCTACATCCTCTAGCAGCAGCCTTATATTCCTCCAAAGTGGCCAGCCCCTCCTTCCATGACCTCTAAACTCTCCTCTTTCACTTCAGCATACCCAGCAATTCCCTATTTAGCCACGCAGGTCTCCTGGCCCTCTTCCTTGACTTCCTACGTGTCGGGATGCTCTGATCTTGAGCTCTGAAAAAGCAATCCTTGAATGCCAACCAACTATCTTGGGCCCCTTTACCTTCAAACAGCCTTGCCCATGGGATTTCCCCTAGCAATTGCTTGAAAAGGCCAAAGTTTGCCCTGCTAATGTCCAGGGTTGCAATTCTACTTGCTATTCTACTGGTCCTACCACACAAGATCCTGAATTCCACCATCTCGTGGTCGCTGCAACCAAGGCAGCCCTCAACCCTTACTGCTTCGACCAGACCCTCCTTGTTAGTGAGGATGAGATTCAGCAGCACTCCTCTCCTGGTTGGCTCATCCACCATTTGCAGGAGGAAGTTATCATCCATACACTGGAGGAACCTCCTGGACTGTGGCTGGGTTGCTGAGTGGTCCTTCCAGCAAACATCAGGGAAGTTAAAATCCCCCACGACGACCACGGCCTGTGATTGTGAGGCCGCTCTCAGCTGCCTGTAGAAGGCCTCGTCAACTTGCTCACCCTGATCTGGTGGCCTGTAACAAGACACCCTCAACAGTATCCCCCCTGCCAGCCTGCCCCTTAATTCTCACCCACAGACTCTCAACTCGCTTGTCATCTGTCCCTGGACAGAACTCAGTGCATTGTAGTTGCTCCCGCACATAAAGAGCAACCCCACCACCCCGCCTGGCTGGCCTGTCTTTCCTGAAAAGGACATAGCCCTCCATGACTATATTCCAGTCATGTGAGCTGTCCCACCACGTCTCTGTAATTGCCACCAGATCATAATCTCCTGACTAAACACAGGCTTCCAACTCCTCCTGCTTATTTCCCATGCTGCGCACATTGGTGTACAGACATTCCAGGGAGCGAGCTGAGCACACCGATTTCACCCTAGGATTATAGGAGGCCTCCCAGTCTTCATTAATTCTGGAGTGCTGCCCCACTGGGGCAAGCCCAGCTACAACCCCATCCCCCTTCGAATCTAGTTTAAAGCTCTCCAAATGAGCCCTGCTAATTTGTGCCCCAGCATCCTTTTGCCTCTGTGACATAAACCTTTCTCACATGCCATTGTCCAGACTGGTGCCCTATAAAACCAGCTGTTATCAAAGAATCCAAAGCCCTGCCTGCAGCACCAGTCTCGAAGCCAATTGTTTATGGACTGAATTTTCCCATTCCGTCCCACATCATCAGTGGAAGATGGAAGGAGTGAGAAGATCACTTGAGCCCCAGACTCTTTCACCATCCACCCCAAGGCCCTGTAGTCTTTCTTCATCCCCCTCAGACTGCAGGAAGCAGCTTCCCCCTCACCTGTCTGGAAGACCAGCAGCAGGTAGTAGTCTGTCGGGTGCACCAGGTCGGGGAGCGCCCTAGTGATATCCCTGATCTGGGCTCCAGGCAGACTACACACTTCCCTATGATGAGGGTCAACTCTGCATATTGGGCCCTCTGTTCCTCTCAGAAGGGAATCTCCTACTACAATGACCCTTCTTTCCTTTCTTATCAGAGGCAGTCTTGAGGTGCAAAGTCGACTGCCTTTTCCTATGTGGCCTTGTAGGCTGGCCTTGCACCACATTCTCACCTACCTCTCCTTCAAGATCCAGGGCCTTGAACCTATTACGAAGGGACACCTGGGGAAGCAGGGCAGGAAGGCGGGAGGGTTTCCCACGACGTCGAACTGGAACTCGCTTCCAACCCTTGTCGTCTTTTTGGTCCCCTACCTCTGCGCAACAGCTACAGGGCAGGGGGTGTCTCGGGCCATCCCCCTCTGTGTGAGAAGGCAGGGGGTCCTTCCCCTTTTGGGGGGTATCTCCCTGGAACCGTTCCAACTGGCACGCCAGGGAGTTACTCCACCAGTCAATCTCCCTTTCACACTCCCTGATGGTCCTCAGCGTCTCAACCTCCTTAAGTTTTGCCACCAGGTTAAGCACATCTTCTACCTGCTCACACCTCATGCAGGTGGAATGCTGTCCTCCCTCCCCCGGCAGCAGCAGGCTCTGGCACTCCCTGCATCCAGAGACTTGAACAGCCACAGTTTGGGACGGGGTCTCTGCCCGAGTTGCTACAGTCTTCTTACTGCAAGCTCTCTTTCTGGAGGCGACCATATTGGTCCGCAGTCGGACACCAGCAACAGGGTCAGCAACACGACCTGCTTGTTCCTCCCTGCGCCTGGTGGGCAGCGACATGTCGCTGCCCTCTCGGAGGCTCTTTCAGCCTATGCCCTTCTTATGTTGAGGACTCCAGAACTGTAAACAGTACTCCAGGTGAGGTCGCATGAGAGCAGAGTAGCAGGATCACCTCCTTCGACCTGCTGGTCACACTCCTTTTGATGCAGCCCAGGATATGGTTGGCTTTCTGGGCTGTGAGCACACACTGCTGGCTAGTGTTCAGTTTCTCATCGACCAACACTCCCAAGTCCTTCTCTGCAGGGCTGCTCTGAATCTCTTCTTTGCCCAACCTGTAGCTGCGCCTGGGATTGCCCTGACCCAGGTGTAGGACACTGCACTTGGCTTGGTTGAATTTCATGAGGTTGGCATCAACCCACCTCACAGGAGTGCCAAGGTCCCTCTGGATGGTGTTCCTTCCCTCCAGCATATCAACCGAATCACACAGCTTGGTTTCATCAGCAAACTTGCTGAGGGTGCATTCAATCCCACTGTCCATGTCACCTACGAAGATGTTGAACGAGACCAGTCCCAACACTGATCCCTGAGGGACACCACTCGTTACTTGTTTCCAACTGGACATCTAGCCGTTGACCGCAACTCTTTGCATGTGACTACCCTGCCAATTCTTCATCCACCGAGTGGTCCATCCATCAAAATGATATCTCTCCAATTTAGAGACAAGGATGTTGTGCGGGACAATGTTGAACGCTTTGCACAAGTCCAGGTAGATGACATCAACTGCTTTGCCCCATCCATCTTTTCAGTAGCCCCATCATAGATGGTCACCAAATGATCAGGCAGGATTTCCCCTTAGTGCAGCTATGTTGGCTGTCACCAACCACCTTGTTGTTTTTCATGTGCCTGTTCTTTGGACATGTGTATGGAGGTTTGAACCCCCACGTGCTTCCAGTGCCAATAAAGGTCTGTGCTTTACTGTACAGTGTGTACTGTGGAGTGATCCCTTTGAATCAGGACAGTGGAATCCCATCTTAGCTTCTCATACCAATCTTTGAGACAATGGGCAGTGGAGTCTGATTTCAGTTCAGTCTCTCATAGATGCCTGTTAAAAAAAACAAGCTGGCAAGAGAAACACAGTCTACCTTCTCTCTGCAGCTGCTGCTTTTCAGCTTTCCAAGATAAGTAGTAACAATACTGGCAGAATGGAGACAAAAGCAGCAGATCCAAGACAGCCCAGTAACATTCCAGTGGTTTTATTTTGCAAGCCACCTGGATCTTCCCCACCTACCATTACCAGTCACAGCTCTCAGTTCATCTAATCTATCTACCAAGTACTCTTAGGAAATGTTCCTCAATAGATCATGCATCCCCAGGGTACAAATGATGATCAAATTCCATATTCCAGGCTCATTTTAGACAAGTCATTTAGGCTTATAAACAACATTAATTGCAACATTAATAAATTAAATTAGAAACAAATAAAAAATAAAAAAATCACACAGAAGCCTAAATACCTTTGGGACTGGTCTCCAACAGTACTTACAAAATTACTGTTATAAAATAAAACAGAACATGGGCATATATGTATCTGTACTGCCCAAAGAAGTTGATATAAATATTGTCCTTGAAGCTGACAGATCTTTTGCCAGAGTGACTTAAGATGTTGATTTTGTGACCTGTGTTTATGCAACCCAATCTGAAAGTTTTAACTCATAATACAGCATGGAAATAGAGACCTGTACAAAAGGAATATGCGCTGCCAGCAGTTCTCTTCCTAAAACTCCTCGTATTTGAGAATGCATTAAGCATTACCAGTCAATGTTTAATAGTTACGCATGTAAGCAATTCAAAACACACGATTTTCACAGAAAGCACATAATTTTTTACTCTATTATGCAATGACCGTATTAATCTAAGAAAATACGCAGCACAGCTGTCCTAATATAAAAAGACTAGCTTAAAAGAGAACAGCAGGCTACTGTAAATACAGCATCTGTCAGTTAAATAACTACAGCCTGCATTTTTATCCACTTCATCCGCAAGGAGTAATTACTGGCATTAGCAGGAGGTTTTTCCTTCCAAAGAGAGTCTACCAGAAGACAATTTTAGCTCTATTTAATGTAGTTTAATCTTGCTACATTTCAGAGCTCATTCTGCTGTTAACATTCAAATTAAAATGTCTACTTTATTCAGCATAAAGAACACCCATACACAATCTTAAGCAACAGTAGAAAGTAAAGTTCAAAGACCAAACTTAAAAAAAGATTTGCAGCTATTTTTAACAGAGTAAGAATCTGAATGCACTTACAGTAAGATTCCAGTTGATCTGCGGTATTCTTATGTGAAGATTTAGACTGAACATAAGCAACAGAACTCCAGTAACCACCAACACACTGCAGCTCACAAACTCAAAGAAATAAAGGCCTTTGCAAGGGGAGCATTCCATGATGGTCTCTATGCAAATGAATGCAATCAGTGCCAAAACCTAGGAAGAAAAACAAGTGGAGAAAAAAAAAATAAAAATATTTCCACATTTTGAAAGTAGCCACAAGTATTCCTGATATTTCCATTGTGAAAATGATCAATTTACACTCAGGAATGTGTGATTTTAGTTTATAACAAGGCACTGTCTAAAGAGCAAAACCAAAAGTAAATTTATGCAAGACTTTCTGGATATCTCCCGTTCAACAAAGTATATTTTAGCAAAATTAAAAGCAGTCTAACATCAAAACGACTGAGACACCTAGAAAAGCATGAAACCCCTGCAGGGCATTGGCTTAATATGCAAATGGCACCTCAAACATTTTATTTCATTTTTCACTCATGATATGCTGTTCCAAAACTTGGAATGCATTTGTCTATTGGGCCAACCTCAAGCTCAACTACATAATATTAATATAGTGTGATTGTGAAAGACATTTCAATAAAGCTATTATTTAAAGCTCACTACCAAATTGAGATCTAAATAAATTCAAAATAAAATAAATTCAGGATCTCTACCAGCCTTCAAAAATGCCTTTGCATGTTTATCATCAATATACTATATTTAACATTAAAACATATTTTATCATTCCCTTTTAAGACAATAAAATGAGCAGCTAACAGATGAAGGAAAAACTCCTGGTGAGCAAACACATACATATAAATGGGATAACTGTTAGTCACACTAAATTCAGAAGAATCTTGGTAGTTAACAAATGCAGACTTTTGAAAGAAAAGAGTTTAATTTACTATTTAGGATAAAACAGTGAATCTCATTATACTTAAAAATAATCTGCCCAATGGACAAAACTAGAATATATAAAAACCATAGAGCAAGATTAGCTACCACTAACAGCTACCACTAATTAGCTACCACACAGTATACAATGTACGTATCTAAGCCTACATTTCAAACTCATTCCTCTTTAATTATAACTGGTAAAAGAAAAACAGTTGCATAGACAGTTTTATTGGGTATTTTTAATTTTCCATGCCAAGCAAGGAAGGCTTTAAGAGTGTTTTGCTTTGATTTTCATGACAACCACCCCCCCTTACATTTTTCAGAAGGAATTCACTTTTTTGCTCTGCCACAAAATTCTACTGAGACTGTAACAAGATGCTAAATATTCCCCAATTTAAGGCTTTGCACAAACAAAACCTAATTTTAAGATTGACAGAAGCCACAATACAAAAAAATTTCTAAATCCTTCTTTGCCAATTTCAATAATGTTTTGCACATAAAAATCCTTCCAGCACTTTTTATGCTTCATCTATTAATTTGTCTCTGCCTCCTACAACAGAACTAGCAAAATGAAGAAAAAGGATTTTGAAAGATGTTACCATTCTGACACTAATATCGGCAGCAATTCTAAGGACAATACCCGCATGCTTCATTTGCAATGGATTTCAGAATACAGCAGCTAATTTAAGTTTAAAATAAAATTAAAACAAACCAAAAAAGTTTTTATCAAAAATACTCACACTTGTATAGAGAGTCTCTCACAGTTCACTTTGCACACTCTCTTTAAGAAAGCCCATGAGTAATCGTTTTTTAGAGTAAAGCTCAAAAAAAAAAAATCTTAGCCATTTTAAGCAGGATCAATATCACGTATTAACACCAAATGATAACTGGCAAAAAACTTTAACTTTTAGATGTTCCAAAACAATAAATTCTCCACTGTTCTTGCAACAATTTTTGATAAATTATGAGACTTCTAAAATTTTTATTCTTTTAAAAGCAATGGTTCTGCACTATTCTCTAAAAATACTGTGGCACAAGCCCAAAGAATATTAGGTTCATTTTCTGAAAATACACATAGCTCTGAACTGTGGCACCAACATTAGGCTGAAGGAGCCAAAAACTCCTGAAAGGTACATGATGTTCTAGAAGACAGAGTGCTGCCTCTATTATGAATTAAATTGCTTTCAATTTCCCTATAAAAACATTGTCAAAGACAGTAATGGCCTTAGTTGATTAGATATGTTCTAAACAATCGTATGCATTCTCCTATCTAGAACAGAGTGAAGGCAGGGAACCCTACTTCTTTACCTACTGCGCAGGCAAATCTTAGAATTTACAAGAATTTTCTTGTAAATATAGAAGATTTTTTTTAAGTTGTAAAGAATACGAGAATGATTCGTGTCAAGAACTTAGAAATCATTGTTACCAATGCACCTGTGACCGGTGTACTATGTGTGGAATGTATAAAAACGACCTTGATTATAATAAATGTTGCTGTCAATGTAATGATGGGAAAGAAGAAGAAAGAAGGGAATAAGCTAGTCCCCTCTTTAATCATTTAGACTGTTAAAACAATAAGGAACGCTTTTAGCTTTGTTTAGCTGCTTGAATGCTTTAAGGGGGTTAAGTAACCAAGGAGACACATCCTGTTAAATATACAGGTCTAAGATTGTGGTTAAGCTTGTGATAGACATCTTTCGGTTAATGTATTACCGAGAAGTTTCAGTATGTTTCTTTACCTGGAGAGAAGACCTCAGCAACGGGACAGAAACAAATGAAAAGGAGCCACATTGAGTTTCGGGCAAAGAAGACAACAGGATTGGCTGGAACTCAAAACCAGGAACTGAAACCCTGGACCGAGAAGTATAAGAGACTGTACCCCAGAAACCCCGGTGTGCGTTGTTGGTGGAGCGGAGACTCCCCGCACACCCAGCACTGCTTGCTTATTGCCTCTTGATATTAATCAATTGTAATAAAATAATTAAATCAGATCATGGCCAAGGCTAAATTTTTATAACAAAGTCTAGAAGTTCATGCAAAGAAAAACAATCCCCCACAGAAAACACTAAGTGAAGTTGTGTGAAATACCATGGTCTACATTTTAGACATTTTAAATGCCTACAAAGATCATTTTAGCACGTTTACTTGCTGTCCTGGGTTCACCTGTAACAGTCGTTTTTCTCCTTCTTAGTAGCTGGTGCAGTGCTGTGCTTTCAACTTTAGTCTGAGGACAATGCTGATAACGCACCAATGTTTTTAGATGCTGCTAAGTAATGTTTATGCCGATCAAGGACTTTTTCAGTCTCATGCTCTGAAAGTGAGGAGGGGCATGGGAAGCTGAGAGGAAGCACAGACAGGACACCAGAGAAAAAAATAGCCAAAGGGGGATTCCATACCGCAGCCCATCATGCCCAGTATATAAAAGGGGAGAACATAGCCGCAAGGCCCAGATCGCTGCTCGGGTCAGGCTGGGTACTGGTCAGCAGGTGATGAGTAATTGTATTGTGCATCACTTTTATTTAATGTTTTGTTCTTTCCTTTTCCCTTTTAGTTTTATATTCTCTCCCCATGATATTTCCCTTATCATCATAATTATCAGGGGTAGTAGTAGTTGCTTTGAATTATACTTTAATTACTGGACAGTTCTTATACCAACTCGTGGGATTTACATACTTTCAAATCTCCTCCCCATCCCTCCGGGAGCAGGAGAGGTAAGAAAGGGAGGGACCAAGCGAGCATGTGCGGGGTTCCAAGTTACCGGCTGGTCTTAAACCACGATAATTGCAGAGAGGATACTGCTGCAAATAAGACTATCTATCACCAAGACATAGAATAATAGAATAGTTAGGGTTGGAAAGGGCCTTAAGTTCATCTAGTTTCAATCCCCCCTGGTATGGGCAGGGTCACCTCCCACAAAAACATGTCACCCAAGACTCCATCAAACCTGGCCTTGAACCCTGCCACAGAAGGAGCATTCACAACTTCCTTGGTCAACCCATTCCAGTGCCTCACCACCTTCACAGTAAAGAACTTCCCCTGTTTAAATTTTATCCCGTTACCCCTTGTCCTATCACTACAGTCCCTGATAAAGACTCCCTCCCCAGCATACTTGTAGGCCCCCTTCAGATACTGGAAGGCTGCTACGAGGTCTTCAAACAGCATTCTCTTTTCCAGGCTGAACAGTCCCAACTTTCTCAATCCCCTGATCATCCTTGTGGCCCTCCTCTGGACCTGTTCCAACACCTCCATGTTCTTTTTATGTTGAAGACACCAGAACTGTACACAGTCTCACAAGAGCAGAGAAGAGGGGCAGGATAACCTCCTTAGACCTGCTGGTCATGCTTCAGTCCAGTATACAGCTGGCTTTCTGGGCTGCAAGCGCACACTGCTGGCTAGTGTTCAGTTTCTCATCGACCAACACCCCCAAGTCCTTCTCCACAGGACTGCTCTGAATCTCTTCTCTGCCAAACCTGTAGCTGTGCCTGGGATTGCTCCAACCCAGGAGTAGGATACTGCACTTGGCTTGGTTGAATTTCATAAGGCTGGCAGTGGCCCACCTCACAAGCTGGATGGCATGCCTTCCCTCCAGCATATCAAACGAACCACATGGCTTGGTGTCATCAGCAAACTTGCTGAGGGCACACTCAATCCCACTGGCCATGTCACCAACAAAGATGTTGAACAAGACCAGTCCCAACATCGACCCCTGAAGGACACCACTCATTACTGATCTCAAACTGGACTTAATCCATTGACCACAACTCTTTGAGTGCGGCCATCCAGCCATTTTTTTACCCACCGAGTGGCCCATCTATCAAATTGATGTCCCTCCAGTTTAGAGACAAGGATGTCATGCAGGACAGTGTCGAATGCTTTGCACAAGTCCAGGTAGATGACGTCAACTGCTCTGCCCCTGTCCATCAGTTCTGTAGCCCCATCATAGAAGGCCACCAAATTGGTCAGGCAGGATTTCCCCTTAGTGAACAGATGCTGGCTATCACCAACCACCTTGTTGATTTTCATGCACCTCAGCATGCTTTCCAAGAGAATCTGCTCCAAGATTTTGCCAGGCACAGAGGTGAGATTAACTGGTCTGTAGTTTCCTGGGTCCTCCATTCTCCCCTTCTTGAAAATGGGGGTTATATTTCCCTTTTTCCAGTCATCGTGAACTTCACCTGAATGCCATGCTTTTTCAAATATGATAGACAGTGGCTTAGCAACTTCATTTACCAGCTCCTTCAGAACCTGCGGATGGATTTCATCAGGTCCCATGGCCTTGTGCACGTTCAGGTTCATAAGATGGTCTCCAACCTGATCCGCTCCTACAGTGGGCCTAAGGTCTTCAATCTCACAGTCCCTGCGTCTGCCCTCCAAGACTTGGGTGGTGTGGTCAGAGCATTTGCCAGTGAAGACTGAAGCAAAGAAGACATTGAGAATCTCAGCCTTCTCCAAATCCAGGGTAGCCAATTCTCCTGAGAGCTTCCGGAGAGGGCGCACAGCTTTTCAAACACTAATGTTACAAGCCCTTACCTTCTCAGGAAAGTTTCATCTTATACTGGCTGAATATAAGTCATGAGCACATCAGCTGACAAGAAACAGGCATATTCAGCTGAAGGTCAGACAGTTATTCTGTTCTGAAAGTCAGGGAATGATGTGAGCTGCCAACTTGATACAGCCAAGAAAAGCCAACTACAATCTTGAGATCACTCAGGAGAAGTGTTTCCAGCAGAGAAATAGAACTGCTGTACCAGACACTACAATGAGATATATCTGGAGTGCTGCATGCAATTCTATCACTCATGTTCAAGAAAAGATAAGCCAATGATGAGAACTAATTACAAAGAAACTAATAGGGAAAACAGAGCTCAACCTCTAAGAGACAAGAAGAGAACTTGTCTAATTTAGTCTAGCAAAACAAGAAACTTAAGAAAGGATCTATGAGTGCTGTGTCTAGATGTTTCAGGAGAGCAATAATCTATTTAAATTAGAAGTCAATGCTGACACAAGAAAAAAAAAGCACACACAGCCATTTGAGAAACTCCTGAAAGGCACATGATGTTCTAGAAGACAGAGAGCAAAGAATATAGCCCATTACAGACCAGTTAGTTTTTACTCTACTGTTTTTTTCCAGAAATTGCAATTATGTTTTAGGTGCTTACTAACAGCCTACCAGCACAACAAGCAACAGGGATCTGTTACCAACAAGTTGTGTCAAGCCAACCAAATTTCTTTCTATGATAGCATAACAGGTCCTGTGGAGAAGTGATCAACATCACATCTCGCATGACCCTCATATAAATAATTGAGACAAAACCCAGTCTTGATATTTCAGAAAAATGAATGTATTGTAATTCATGAAATCACCCATTAGTTATCCATAGTACTAGTCAATATTTTTATTCAGTATGCTACCCTGTCCAGCTATTGAAGATATCAGATATGTAGGAAAGCATGCATGAAGGGAATACAAAGGATTTTGAAAGACAGGTTTGGTTGTGAAAAAGTTAACAGATAAAAATTAGCATCACACTCAGACATTTAAACAAAAGCACAATACATAACATAGATTAAGTAACCCCTACTTAGGGCAGACAAAGCCTTGTTTGATGGACTGCATTCACTTCTGAGCACCAAAAGGAACAGCTC